AAAGTGTTCTTGGATCCACTGGAGGATGCTCTGGGGGAAGTCGTGTCCCTTGTGGGAAGGGTGTGTTGGAACCAAGTGGAGCCCTTTTCCAGATACCCAACGTGCTATCCCGAGTGGGGTGATTTAGGAACTCTGGGTCGTAGAAGTTTTGTTTTGTTTTGGTTTTTGGTTTTTTGAGACAGGGTCTTACTATGGAGTTGAGACTGACCTGGAACTCACTATGTAGCTCAGGCTGGTCTCGAACTCACAGCAATCCTCCTGCCTCAGCCTCCCAAGTGCTGGGATTACAGGCATGCGCCACCACGCCCGGCCTGGGTCGTAGAAGTTAATGTTCCCCTTTATCTGTTTCCTCACTGAGAAAGGAAGAACTGATGGGCAGGGGGCCAAAATAATCCCAGCATCTGAAATGGTGGGCATTTTGCTCTTTCATTGCTGGTCTCTGATATCACATTGATAAAACCAATGTATAAATTTCCTGTTGGCCAGCATTGTGGTGCTACCAAAAGCATGGGTGAACTCAACCATATACTAGGTGGACCAGTTTAACCTAGGACCTGACTATAAGCATAGACAATTCATCTGATTCTGCAATATCAGAATTAAAAGGAGATCTAGGGCTAGGGGTATACATCGGTGGTAGAGGGCACACTTAGCAGGCATGTGTTCCATCCCCAGCAAGGGGGAAGGGGGCTCTTGAGAGGCTGGCGCTCTCATCTTCCCAACCAGGCCGCCAGTAACCAGAGAGAAAGAGGTTTTTCCTAAGTTTGGAAGGAGCTCATGTTCCTGCTTCAGTTTTCCCCATTTAAAAGCCCATTTCCATGAGTTGGGTGAGGCCTCACTCTCGCACCAAGGTTATGCAGCAGGTCTGGGGGCTGGGGGAGGACTGTACAGAAAGCAAGGCCACTTGGGCAGAGCATGCAGCACTGTCCAGAGCTGTACTGAAATCCCTGACCTTTCTGAGCACGGGCCCCTTGACAGCCAGAGAGGCCTCCCGGGCAGCTTTGCTGGCCTCCAAGAAACAAATAGGTTGAATAAATCCTTTAAGGCAATAAAGTTTAATTGGGCAGCCCTTATGACGAAAGTCACCCTGATTAAAAGGACACCTCACAAACCCCAGTGCAATCGCACTGCCTTCATCCAGTTCCTCAGGTGTTCTTTCCCGCGTCAAAGCGTCTCTTCACGTGTGTGGTCCCCTGACCTGGACTACCTCCCCATCGCCTTGGTACACTGCTTCTAGCCTTTCAGATTTCAACTCAAGTCACTTCCTTGGGGAAACTTTCTCTAGCTACTTCAAGTTAAAAATTTACAAGTGCCCTACAAGGCCAGACCACATAGTTAAGGTTTAACTCCTGCCAGACAGGAAGCACCGGAGTGCAGGGAGCAGGTATGCTGCTCACCACTAGTTAGTCCAACACCTGATGTGCTACAGAGACTCAGCAAATATTTACTGACTGACCATATGAATGACTGCAGGAAGGCATATTACTCCAATGTAAAACAAGTGACAAGACTGTCCTCGGGCCGGGGATTTAGCTCAGTGGTTCGGTGGCCTGCCTCGCAAGCGCAAGGACCGGAGTTCGATCCCCGGTACCAAATAAAAAAAAAGACTGTCCCCACTTTAATGGCTGCTGCCATGCCATTTCAACGTCACATTAAAGGGAACCAGACCAATCCCTAAGCAGCCACGACCCCTGCCTCTCTTATTTCCTCTCAAACACAGGTTATAAAACCCAAAGTTTGCTTTAGTGAGGAAGTGAAACACTTAAGTGGCTCACTGGGATTTTTCCTTTTCTATTCAGAGAGCAGGTTGGTTTACTGACAGGCTCCTAGGTAATCCAAGGTCAGGGAGCAGAACTGCTGAACAGCAAGTCCTGCTCTGGGCACCATACCCTTCTGCCTCAATGGCAGCAGCTTCTACCAGGCCCTTCTGACAACTGTCTCCAAAGGTCCAACTGGAAGGATGCTCATCTCCCCGTGTGTATGTGTGCAGAAAGTGCCCTTCCAAAGAAGACTCTCCTTGGTGCCCAGGAAGCCACAAGCCACCCAAACACTGCCTAGTACTTGCTGAGTTAGGGGGCACTTGAGGACTTGTGCCAGGAACTGTAGACAACAGTAATGAGCCCTTGGGTTCCCTGGGGACTCTTCCCACAAAGTGGGGAGAAGCGAGGGAGCTGGCTCCCTGAGTCCAGTATTTAAGTGTGTTCCTGTCCATCTCTGACAGGGAAGTCTCAGTATTACAGGAAAAGATTATTTCCTAGGTGACTGTGCAGGTAACCAAATGGATTCTTAGCAAACTAAAGGAGTCTTTTGGAATTGGTAATGCTGTTTGCCTCTGGAGAACAGAGGTGGGAGGGATGCTTTTTATTTCTAGTCTTTTGTGCCTTTTAAATTTTGAATCATATAAGTATCACCTAGTCAAAATATTTTAATTCAAATACATCAAACATAATGCTGCTTTCGGGTTGGGTGTAGGGGTGGCGGAGGGATCCTCCTGGTCTCAAGGCTGTGTGTGTGTGTAACGCCTACCTCGAAACTGAGTCCTTTGCACCTAAAGATGGCTTTTTCCCCCCTCAGAACCAGGGCTCCTCAAACAATGTTCTCCATACCCCTCAAATCACCTCAGGATCTTAGGAGAATGCAAGATCTGACTTGGTGAGATGAGATAGGGGGCTGACAGTATCGCCCAGCCCCAGAGAACAAGAGCAAAACGACACAGGTAAATGCACTGATTAAAAGGTCAGGATGGAAGCTGGAATGGAGCTGAGCCTTCCCTGTTCCCCTTGCCTGGAAGCCCTTGGAGTTGGCCTCTCCCCTTAGGAGCCAGCTGCTTCCTTACCAGTCCAGTCCTTTTCCAGTTGCCTCCTTGGCCACCTTTAACTTTTATCCCTGGGGCAAGACCAGACGTCCCCTTGATATTGTCCACAGCTTTTTCTGAGCAACCAGCAATCTCTACAGGAACTTGTAAAAGTCTCGGATAGAGGCCAAAAGAAAGCCAGAGTGGTCAGACCTGGTTGTGATGTCTCTGTTGGTTTTGAAGGGAGTTATGTGAGTCCCCCTTCCTGCAGGCTAGGTCAGCGTCCTATTAAAATATCTCTTAGATAGGGTCCAGCATTAGCCTGAAACATGCATCAGTGTTTACTGCATGGATGAGTAAGTGAACGTCCAATCAGGTTCTCTGGAAAAATTAAGACACTGTAGTACCACTCAGGCCCCTGGCCTGCTCTCTTCCCTGGCTGCCAGCCCCAGGGCTTCTTCCTCTGGATCTGGGCCACGCTGGCTACCAGGAGGCTCCCCTCCTTACAGAAAAAGGTTATAGCAGGATCCCAAAGTGCAGGAGAGATGGCTGTTCCCAGAAGCCCCAGCCCATGCAGGCATGAGGATTTATCTTCCCAGTTCAGAGCTGCAGACAGTTTTGGCCCCATCATCTTTGAATCTGCTCTCCGCCAACAGCTCTGGCAACGTCCCCACTGTCTGTAGTGTCTTCAGTTGCTGCACATTCACCTTTGCATTCTTTTGGATACCCGTCCTGGTGTGGGGGGGGAACGACAAAAAGAACTGCTGAATACTCTGTGGGGGGCTCCCTCCCTAAAGGCAGAGGCATGCAGCAACCTCAGTTGCTCACTGGCAGGGCTGTGGGCAGTCAGCATTTGGAGAAAGGGGCAACCGTCCCAGACATGGGGAGGGCAGCAGGCCTTTGGAGCCACTCAGCAGTGAGCGGCAGCAACTGTGGTGGGTTCTGGGACCCAGGGCCATGAGCACAGAGCCTCCCACAGCAATGGGCAAGACTGGGCCAAGACAAACGAGGTAGACGCTCAGATGGAAGCCCAGAGAGTGACCGCTCAGGAAACATTTGGAGGGCTGCTGAGCCCAAGACCTGCCCCGTCCGGGTCCCCCAGCCTTCTGCTGCACCCTCCACAGCTCCACCTTTCACTCGTCCCTCGGCTTCATCCCCACTGGGCCCACCTCCCAGCTGGAGGCTGCCAAACCCTGACTCAGCAAGGAATAAAAGCTGGGAGCTGGAGGAAAGGTGGGTCTGGGCTAGAGAACTTCAGGGGATGTGGTTGGGGGGGTGCCACAGCCCTAATCTGAGTGAGCAGGAGCAGTCTCCGTGTCCTACCCCACTGGGAGAAGAGGGGAAAAAAAAGAAGAGAGAAAAGAAAGGGAAAGAGGAAGGGGGCCCAGAAAACAGTGAAGGAGAAGCGAAGAAGGCCCAAACATGGGCTTCCGGCCTCTGCCTGGGTCTCCCCCACCGCACCCAGGGCTGAGGTCACATCCGCAGAAGAGGCCAGGCGGACCAGGCAGTGCCCAAGTCCACAGAAGAGGGATCCGGGAGTAACTGATGGGAGGTGGGGGCTGGGGTTTTGCCAGGCAGGGAACCCACTGGAGAACTGAACCCTAGAAACACCCTGTATGGATTCACAGCTCTGCCATTTATTAGCTGTGAGGTTTGAACAAGTTATTTAACCATGCCTCGATTTCTTCACTAGTAAAATAGGAAATATCTGTGTCCACTTCATTAAATTCCTTAAATGAACTAAAATATACAAATAGCCCAGGGCACCACAGGGCTGGGAGACATGCTGGGTGAACAGAGCACTGTTACTACAACAGCGCCAGCAACCCCGCAAGCCGCGTCCAGCACCGAGGGGTCTCCCGGATCCCGGTCGTCCAGGGTGAGTCCCGCAGCGCCTCACCTGGCGGAATGGGTGAGCTTCCCACACACGTCGCCGTTCCCCTTCCGGCCTCTGCTCTGGTGGGGCCTGGGGCTGCTCCTCCTGCCCGTGCTCCTCCGGCAGCCCTTCTTCTCTCTGTTCCCGCTCCATCGCCTCGGCCTCGGCCTCCGTCTCCCGGGCCACATGCCCTCGGCCCCTGGACAGGACACGGTCCGTCACCCCGGGTCCACTCTGCAGGCCCCTCCTGGCACTCTAGCTGGGCCGCCCGGCCCTCATTCCTCCAGCAGCACAGTCTGGGGCCAGGTCTGGTGCAGAGCAGCCAGGCTGAGTTCAGGTTGCAACTGGAGTTCCACTGAGGCAAACTGGCCGGCCCAGTTTGTGGTGGGATTGAGGAAGTGCCTAGGTGCCTGTCCTTGGTCCTCATTCTGATCCCAGTTCCTCCTGAAGCCTTGCCCTTTCTGTCCACCCACAGACATTGGGGCTCTCCCCATGCATGCTGTCTTCAGTTGCTCCCCACACCTGCACATGCGTATGCAAGCGCACATGCACACACGCACACACACACACACACGCACACAGCAACCCCACCTAAGAGACCCAGGAAGGAAGCCCCTGCAGCATGAGAAAAATCCATTTCTCTTCCCTTACCATCCAGCTTTCCTCAGCCCTTACCCATCGGGACCACCAAGTCCAAGAATCCTAAAAAATCCTGACACACCACTGGAAGGTACTCTATGTAATTGACAGGCTCATCTCACAGGTTAAGAAACTAAGGCCCAGGGAGGCCCAGGACTTTCCAAAGTCACAGCCAGATGGGGCAGAGTCTGTGCACCAGGTCTCCTCCTGTCAGCCTGGAGCAGCCTCTTTTTTGGGCTGCCCTGAGGTAGAAGCGCGTCCTGGGGAGCAGGTTTTAGGAGCATGCCACCTCCCCAGCCCTTTAAGCCTCTCTTCCATACCCAGAACCCAGCACCCAGCCAGGTGGCAGCTGAGGACTAGGGGACCTCCTCTGTGCCCCCTTCCAGTTTGGGGAGGAAACTTTAACTAACCTCACTTCCTCGTACTTTTTGTCGCGGTAAAACTCCCTCTTTTTGATGATGTAGATGAGGACCAGGTCACAGAAGAAAGCCCCCTGCAAAAAGAGTTGGGGGCCCTGACTCAGAGTCCTACGCTTCGTACTATTTGATCATGTAATGTCCCATAAGTGAGGCACCGTTTCCCCATTTAACACATGAGAAAGGAGCACCCTATTCAGGGTGATGCAGTTACACTGGGGTGCGTCCACCTGATCTCACAGGCCAAGCCCATGCCATCAGACCCCATCCAACCATGTCTTCCATGCTCTTTTGCTGAGCACCCATTACGTGGAGATGTGGAGCACAGAGACCCTTTAAGGAACCTCCCTGATGCAGAATGATGCTTCCTACAATGGGGACACAAGCGTGAGACAGGGCCTTACTCTGCTTAAGGAGAGGGACACCTGGGCTGAGTCTTGAGGGCTGAACAGGAGTTTATGGAAAGGGCACTACAGAGGGAGGAGCAAACTAATCTTGACTGGGAAATGCCTCAGGGCCTGCTGGGGAAGAGTGAAATGCACTTTTTAGAAAGGTGGTTGTGAGTCTGCCAGTCTGAGAACAGGCTACAGCAGTAATCAAGGAAGAAAGGCCATGTGAGCTAATCCTGAACACACCCCTTCAGCTAGAGCAGGCTGTGTGCAATGTCCATCCTTTCCACCAGAGGGAGACTACCCACAGCATGGGATTGACACTCCGGAATGAAGACAGGGGAGGCCAGAAGGGGTAGATGGTGAGCCTCAGGACAAGGTGACCCTGGTCCCCAGAGGGCAAAAGTGCCACTCACCTATTCCTTCTCCCGCCTCCCTCCCTCAGCCTCCATTAACACCTTTTCTCTGCACCATTACCTCCATCTGACAGGGGTGTCCCCAGATGTCCAGATTCTGCCCAAGTCATAAGAAATTGCATATGCACACCTCTGGGGGTCCCTGAGTGACTGACCACTCGTCTTTTCCCCTATATAAACAACTTGCCCATACCTATAAAGGGTCATTCTGTGCAATATTTCCCCTTATGCTGCAGCATGAGTCCTCATAACACCTCTTTTGAATGACATATTTTTGCTTATTCACTATTTCCACCTCAAGTAGAGCGTGCTGAGCTAGTACCCTAAGGGCTGGGGACACCAAAGTTTGCTGGACACTTTCAGAGCCAGCAGCGGGGCTGGCAACACTGAAGGCATCCAGCAAACATGGAATGACAAAGAGCAATTGAGAATTGCCCAGGGCCGCCATCTCTGGTGGCTGGAAGAGTTCTAGAACCATGTAGGCGGCTCTTGCTTTAAGCAGCAGAGAGGGCTGCTGACACTAACAAGAGCTGCTGGCATTCAAAGCCCAGAGCTGTTATCACTAAAACAGCTACACTTTGCCAATCCATAATTTCCTTATGAATTGAGCAAAAGAACCCTCAGACAGTTGGTAACATCACGGTGGCCCATATGGGGACCTTCCCCTTCTGAGGACCCTGAAAAAGATGGACAATGGTGACAGTTGTCAGCAAAGAAGAAGCAGCTAAAGAACTAGCCCATGTCCTATTTCCATCTTACCTAAGACTACAGACCCACAGTAGCAGATGCCTCTGGCTCTGGAAAGAGAAACTTGGGTGGTCACTGCCGCCTGGGGCAGCTGACAGGTCACGGGGTCCCAGAAAGCCCTCTTTGTCCACGTGCATTCTGGCCTCGGCAGCACGCCTGCCATCTAGGGTGCTGGGTGAGGTTCCTCCTGGGAAGTTAGCTATCCCCCTCTCCCTGCTCAGAGCCAGTGTGCTGGGGGAAGTGTACTCACAGCACCCATGAGCGCCACCCCGGAGCCCACATTGATGATGGTGGGGATGATGCTGAACTTCCCTGCCTGAAAGACAAGGTGAGTGAGTGAGGCAACAGTCCACCGTCTGGTCCCCAGACTCTCCTGCCTGTCCCCTCCAAATGGGAGGGCCGGCCACACACCTTGCCATTCACTATCACATCAATGCGGATCCCGTAGGCTTTCATCAGGTTGCGGAACTCCACCCCAGCCGAGTCTCGGTAGTATCTGGCAAACCTGGGGGATGAAGGACCTAGGAGGAGCCACTGCCTGCCTGCACTTTCCCTCTGCAGCAGCACGGATGTGGCTGCTTTGGGGACTTCTAAGCACTCCCAGAATCCCGGCTCTCAGCAGTCCTCGGAGAGGGCCACAGACCACCCGCACCACGAACCAACTACAGAGATGCATCGGAACCCTTCCTCAAGGTACCAGGCCTTTCCCACTGCACTGAGTCAACCCTTGGGACACCATGGCAAGGGTAGGGCAGGAACAGGCATCTTTCTCCTGTCCCGAGGGGTTCACTGTGCTGTCCTCGCCACTCTGTGGGTCCTCTCCACACCTCAGCTGTCACTCCCACACCTCCTGCTCCGACATCCGCCTTAAGGCAGGGGTGTCACAGTGCCGGTGCCCAGGGAAGGACACCAAACACCTCGGGGCCACAAAGGGGCACAAAGCAGCAGTTACCTGAAGTTGTACCCGGAGGAGATTGATTTGGCATGTTTGTTGTCCAGACGGTTAAAAGAATAGTGTGGATGGCACTCAGAGGCAGCTCTATCAAGGTTGCAGTCCCATTCAATATGAATTCCTATTACACCTCCCTTCATGTGAGAGACAAGGATCAGTGCCCAGAGCTATCCTGAGACAGACAGAGGCCAGCCCTTCCCCAGAACTGAACAAGGCGGAGGAAGGGCTCAGACCAGAGGTGCCCTGTTGGACCAGCCTTCGGGGCGGTTCTAGCCCCACCTCTGGAGGCTAAGAAAGTTACCTCACCCATTCCCAGTGTCATCTCCCTTCACCTTCAGGGAGCTAATGACTTTAGAGACAGGTACTTGACAAATGAATCAGGATGTGCCCCGGGGCTCCTTCCGACCCCTCTGAGCTGGCGGCCTAGTGAGCTCTTGGAGGCAGGTGGCTTGGCAGGGCCACCCCTACCCTATTGTGTCACCATTGCAGAGCCCACGTCCCAGGGACAGCACCTTGAGCACACACCACTCACCTCCAGGGCAATGTCCTGGAAACTGCTCCCTGCCCACTGGACCACAGAACCCAGCCGGAAGATGGGGCAGTAGTGATTGTTGGGGCCAAAGCGACAGGATTTCAGAAAATCCTTGTTCTTTGTTTCCAATATGTTGGCCCTGGGTAGAAGATGAGTCAGTGGGCCCCTCATCCGACCCAACTCCCCCTCCTCTCACATCCTATTCTGAGTTAGAACTGAGACTCAAGCCCGCCCCCGCAGCAGGGCCACTCTGAGGTTTGGCCACAGCAAGCACCACATAAACATCATGTGCATGCACCCACACACATCCCCAGGGAGGCCCAGCCGAGGCCCCACCCCTGGACCCAGTAGCCAAGCTCCACATACTTAGAGAAATCAAACTTGGGGAAACGAATATAGTTCTTTATGAAAATGGTGAAGTCTTCAGCATCCCTCAGGAGTGGCTTCCTGAAAAGCAGTGTGGGACAGCCTTAGCAGGAGGCCTGCCCCAGCCCCTCCACACCTCCCCCGGTCCTGGGGCAGGGCTGAAGCCTTTTCCTCAGCCTCCTGGAGCCTTTGTCAAGGACCGTTCATTTGCTTGTGTTGGGTGGTCCCGAGCCTTTCTGGGATGCCCTGATATCCCCTTCAGAAGGAAGCTCTCCTGGGACTGGCGTGTCTCCACCCTCAAGCTGGACTCTGACTGGGGACTCCTTAGAGGCCTGAGGCCGCAGCCACTCACTTGGGTCTGGACTGCGTCTCCACTGGGCACCAGGCAAAGATCTCACAGGTGCCTTCTGTTGAGTTCCCCACCCGCAGGCAGTGGCCAGTCTTCACTCCTGCGGGGGTAGCATAGGGACAAGGCCAGGAGCCTCCCCGCCCAGGCCCCCTGTAACCCTCTCCACTGATGGCCATCCCAGCCCAGGTCCTCACCATTTCCAGCTCTAACAGGCTCCCCAGCACGGCAGTCATCGTCCTGAGAACACATGCCATCGGGAATGCCTTCACGCTGCCAGGAGAGAAAGGTCCCTGCATGGGGGGGTCCCTGGCTCAGGGCCACATCCCGACCTGGGGTTAGAAGAGCTCCTCCCTGGCCTGGGCCACACACCGTTTGAGAGCCTGTTTCTCCCCAACACAATGCAGGCTCATGCACTGGCACATACAGACTCCGGGACCCTTGGAACACACAGAAGTCCCAGCTTTAGGAAAGGGGTCAGCCCTACCACAGCTGGCAGCTCCCACACCCTCCTCTGCTCCCCATGCAAAATCAAACCTCAGCACAGGTGCTCTGCCGCTGGTTGGCGGTCACAATCAAGTTGGTGATCACAAAGAAGACGTTATCTCCCTGAGGAACCACAGAGGGGTTAAGGAACCTCCTCCTACCCTCCTGGGGACCCTTCTTCCCACAGCTGCCTGGCAAGAGCCGGGGGACCTCTGCATGGTGTTGGGGAAATGGGGCCACAAATTTGGTGGGCTTTGCCTACAAACCCCAAGTTCCCTCGCCTCTTGAATCCCTATTGATCATACCTGGAGTCCAAGCCTAGACCGGGGAAGAGAAGGGACCATAATGGGGGTTGCCCTGGCCATGGCCCGAGATGAGTGAACATTACTAGGAAGCTATTCCCAGGCGCAGTAGAATGTAAGGGAAGGGTTCTCTGTCCCAAGTCATTGGATCATAATGACCTGAGAGTTCACTGGGCCCCACGTGGTCTCAACAGACTCAGGTAACTGGGAACAGAGTTGGCATGCTAGGCACAGAAAAGGAGGGCAGAGGTTTGGCCTGGGAAAATTCTCTGGCCAGGGCTTCAATCTACATCCTGGACCAAGAGAGACAGTGAACAGAAGTCCCTGGACGCCCGAGCAGCTTCCTGTGTGACCCACCCCAAGCCAGGTCCCACCAGCCTGGGCAGCAAGGATAGGCAGGGCTCAGACCTGGGGTGGGATGACATAGTCTGCGACATCCCAGAGATGCTCCCCGAGCTCCGAGGTGTTGGTGTAGGCCACGCCCTTGACCTTGGTGATAACAGCACTCTGCAGGGAGGTGTCAGTATCTTGATAACCCTTCTTTATCACGAACACCCATCTGCGGGAAGGGGTCAGCAGGTGGGCATCAGCCACACTGCTGCTCTTGGGGATGTTTCCCTGGGCCCAGGCCAGGGTGGGAGTCACAGCAACTCCGAGGTAAGGCAGGGCCAGGCTCTGAGCTATACCTGTGCTACCAGCCCTGGGGCAGGGCTCACAGCCACCACTGCTGCTTGAAATCCAATCCTGTGAGCAGCAGAGGCCCTAAGGATGTATGGTAGACTGGTCTGTGAAGCAGGGTGAGGCCTGGGCTCAAACCAGCTGAGCCTCGCACTGGCTATACGACCAGTTGGCCAACCGGGGAGTGTGGGTTTCCCAGTGTGACTGGATTCCAGCGCCTCTCACCAGGGGCTGTGAGGGTGATCACGTCACGCGTGGTACATAACCCAAAAACAATCACGAGGCTGCCTCAGAGCAGCCCAAACTGAGGGGCAGTCTATGAAATAAGAGCACAAAGCTCCGCATTCCTTGATCCCAAAACACAAGCAGCCAAAGCAAAACTAGGTAAGTTGGAGCTTCATCAAAATTAAGAACTTATGCCTATGAAGAAAGTGAAAAGGCAGCCTACAGAATATCTCATCTCAGCCAGGTGTCTGCAAGTTCAAGAACAGCCTGGGCTACACAGTGAGTTGAAGGTCAGGCTGACCTACATAGAGAGACCCTGTCTCAAACAAACAAAACAAACAAAACCACAAAAAATAAATAAGTAAAAGTAAAAAAGGGGGCCGGGGATTTAGCACAGTGGTGCCATGGCCTGCCTCGCAAGCACAAGGTCCCAAGTTCGATCCCTGGTACCAAAAAAAAAAGAAAGAAAAAAAAAGACTACCTTATCTAATAAAGGTCTAGTATCCAGAATATATGATGAATTCTTAAAATTCAACAATTAAAAAGATAAGTAATCCAGTTTTTAAATGGGCAAAAAGCTGCATACAGTGGCACATGCCTGTAATCCCTGATACTCAGGAGCCTAAGGTGGAAAAGCATGAGTTCTAGACCAGTCTAGGTAACAGGTACACATACATATATATAATCATTAGGAAACAGCATCTCAAAACCATGATAACACTTCACACTCATTGGGACGACTGGCTCAAACTTGAGGTAATCCTCCTGTTTCAGCCCCCTGGGTGCTGAGGTTACAGTTGTGTGCCTCTATGCCCAGCTAAAAAGTAGTACTTTTTAAAAATAAATAACACAGATTGGCAAGGATGTGGACATACATATATATAATCATTAGGAAACAGCATCTCAAAACCATGATAACACTTCACACTCATTGGGACGACTGGCTCAAACTTGAGGTAATCCTCCTGTTTCAGCCCCCTGGGTGCTGAGGTTACAGTTGTGTGCCTCTATGCCCAGCTAAAAAGTAGTACTTTTTAAAAATAAATAACACAGATTGGCAAGGATGTGGAGAAATTAGAATCCTCATACATTGTTAGTGGGACAGTAGAATGGTACAGCTGCTGTGAAAAATGGTTTGCAAGTTTCTCAGGAGGTTAAAGGCAAAGTTCATATATGACCAAGCAATTCTATACCTAAAGATATACTGAAGAGAACTGAAAGCATGTCCACACAAAACTTGTATGAGAATATTATTAGAAGCATTATTGATAACAGCAAGTGGAAATAATCCAAATGTCCATCAACTAGTGAATGGATCAACGAAATGTAGCTTATCCATAAAATGGGCTATTGTTTAGTCACAAAAAGGAATAAAGTAAGAACACATGCAACAACAGGTACAGGCCTTCAAAACACTGTGCTCATTAAAAGAAGTGAGGCCCAAAAGGATCGTGTACTGAATGATTCCATTTATATGAAATGTCCATAACAGGAAATCCATAGAGTCAGAAAGCAGGTTTGTAATAGCCCAGAAATGGAGGTGAGGAGAATCGGGACCAACTAGGAAGAACTTCAGGCTTCTCTTCGGGGCGATGGAAATATTCTGGAACTAGGGAGTGGTGACGGTTCTGTGACACCGTAAATGTACTATAAAGCACTTAATTGTTTCATTTTAAATGGTATATTATGTGCTGTGTGACTTTTATCTCAATTAAAAAATAGTACACACAGGGCCCGAGATTTAGCTCAGTGGTTCCACCACCTGCCTCACAAGCATATGGACCCAAGTTCGACCCGGCTACCAAAAAAGAAAAAAAAAAAATGGTACAAACATCTTTTATTCTTCAAAAGATGTCAGTGTTTACACAAAGGAAGACAGGAACAATTTTCATTTAAAGGCTAAGAAGACATGAAAACTAGGTACAAGGCATGACTTCAGGTTTTCCTTTGCCATAAAGGTAATTATTGGAACAGTGTACAAAAGGTGTGTAGGTGATACAATTGTTTAATGATAATTTCCTGATTTTAATGATACTTGCCCTGGTTAAACAGGAGAATTCCTCCTCTCCCTGCAATGTGGGGACGCAACAAGACAGCCCTCACCAGAACTGGGCCATGCGGGCACCCTGATCTCAGACTCCCAGCTTGCACAGGAACAAGTTTCTGATATCTGCAATCCACTCTTATACGGCTTGGGAGAAACTGCATAAATATGAATAGGCATACAGAGAAAGGGGGAAGGACTGTACAAATAGCAAGATATTAATATTTGAGGGTTACTGCTAGAGGGAAATAACTTTTGTGCTATTTTTATAGCTTTTCTGTGTCTAAAATTAAGTCAAAATACCAACGATATTTTTAAATAAGGTAGCACATGTCAACTGCTGGCACAGAAGAGTTCAGTGAGCACAATTCATTAACGCATTGTTGCTGTTGGTGTCAGAGATTGTCCAGGTTAACCCCTCCAGTAGGCTTGGGGAAACTGAGGCAGAGTGGGAAGGAGGGAAGGCACCTGCCTGAGGTCATGCAGCCCGTGGTGTGGGATGCCGGCTCTTTCCAGGGTGCCAATGAAGGTTCTGGGTATAGCAGGTGCTGACCAGTACGTGTCCACCTCCTCATCTCTAGGGCAGCACCGAAGTGTCCTGAGCCCTAGGCTGGCACACTGTCAAGGAGCTCTGAGAAGGCCGTGGCCCAGGGCAAACCCGCTGTGTTAGGAGGGACATGCTGGGCCTGGCCCGGGCTCAAACAGTAGGGAAATATTTAAGGTGAACCTTCACTAACTCATTAATTTCATACTTACGCCCTAGTGAAATGACCACCTTCATGGCATCCCCCAACTGGCAGGGGCAGAAACAAACACCTCCACAAACACAAATTAGCTTGTAGTTAAATTCCCTGTGGGAATGCCAGGGAAGGAAGCAGGGGGAGTTACTCCAGCACTCAGGTCTGCAGGATGAATGGGCACTAACAAGAACAGCGTGCCTGGCTAAGGAACAGAACACAAAAAGGCCTGAAGCAAGTGTCTTAGGGAGGGAGGTCAGAGGATTCTGAGTGCCACACTCTAGGAGAGAGCAGGGAGCCACCAAGGCTGCCTTCCCAGGAGGAAACAAGAGCACCAGCTCCTGCTAGGTGGGATGGGAATGGGGGAAGGCGGCTGCAGAGCTGGGAAGGACCCCAGCGGGATACAAGAGAGGCCAGTCACAGTCACGGGTAGGTGAGCCGACCGGAAGAGAGTTCAGGGACACTCCAGGCTGATGAGTTGTCCCCATCCCAGAGTAAGACACTGACGCTCAGTGATTATAAATAACCTCCCGGGTGCCTGGTCCAGCTGTCAGGCTGGGGGCCCAGGGAGGCCCCTGAGGTGACAGCTGCAGCCCAGCCCCTCCATCCCTGCCCCTTCCCACGCCACTAACGCCGGGGCTCTAGTCCTTGGGGAAGGAGCTTCCTACATCAAGGATCCCAGAAGCCCCTGCCCACGGCTCATCTCCAGAGCCCGAGGGGGAGTAGAGGGTCCCCGAGTCCCCCCACCTTTACGCCCAAGGGTCCTCTCCTCGGCGGGGATCTCGGGAAAGCCACGTGCAACGCTAGGACCCTGGAGAAGGCCCAGCCACTGGGCCCCTTCCCCGCCACGCCACACGTTGTACCCACCCCTCCCCCAGCTCCCGAAAGCGCCCGGACTCACAGGACCAGGTACAGCAGGATGGTGAGCTGCAGCAGTCTGTAGAGCAGCCCCACCTTCTTGTTCTTGGCGATCACATACTTTTCGGTCTTGTAGTCGAACGCAGACTGGAAAAACCCCTTCCAGCCCGCCTGCCCCATCCTGCCGGCTCACCGGG